CTGAGGACCAGGGGACGGCCGAGCTAGGGGATGGACGAGCTAGGGGATGGCTCAGGACGAGGAGACGGTCGAGCTAGGGGATGGATGAGGACAAGGGGACGGTCGAGCTAGGGGATGGATGAGCTAGGAGACGGCCAGGCTAGGGAATGATGACCTAGAGGATGGCCGACCAAGGAGACAGATGACGTGGGAGATGGCCACACCAGGGGCGGCTGACCTGACTCCCGCATGGTGTGGAGTCAGCCTGAGTGAGAACTGCGTGCTGCGCCCTTTCCAGACTTGGGTGCTAAAGAGGAGAACAAACAAATACAGCCATAAAGGACATTTGGGGAGCAATTAAAGAAATTCAATTGAGGACAGGTTGACAGTATACATGTGTGATATTATGAAACCGTTAAGTTTCATGCATGTGATAAAGGCACTGCATCTCCTCCCCTTCTCGGTGCATGTGCTTTTACATAGGAAAGTTATATAGGAAAACGTCTGTGTCCTTAGGAAGTACATCCTAAAAGTTTTAGGGATGAAGGATCATGTCTACCCATGATTCATTTAAAAACTCATAAAAGATGACATAGATGAAGCGTCTGGCAAATGGCAACTTTGGTGAGAGGCTTGTGGGTGTTCATTGTCTTCCTCTTTCAACTTTTCCGTGGGTTTGAAATTTATCAGAGTAAGCGTGGGAAACTGGGGCCTACAGTGAGGATGGGGTTTGACCTGCCGGGAAGCAGGAAGCCGCCTCTGCCGCCCAGGATCCCCAGCCACTCCAGCAGCACAGACGACGCCTCCTGCCTCGCAGCACCTATGAAACAAGAGCCTGGGTTTTGTTTTGTTAGAAATTTTTAAACCAGTCAAAATAACTTATATTTTTATTTAAAATGTTTATTATAGAAAATTTAGGATAATTGAGACTTTAAAAAAACACTCGTAGCCCTACCTACAACAGACAACTCGTGTTTACCTCTTTGCTTCCATCTGACTTCAAATACAAGCATCACGGCTGCCTCTTGAGTTCTGTGGCCCACCTGGGTGTGGCCTGGGCACCCCGCCACCCCACATCCAGATTCACAGCAGAACGCCAGCTCCTGTGGCTGGCCACCACCTCAGGCACGTAGCAACAGGTGGAGACTTCGCCCCTCCCAGCCCGGAAAATGGGTAGCTTGTGGGAAGGCAGCCACTGCCCCCGTGACTGTTGACATCAGCCACAGGTGAAGATGTTAGCTGTGGTGCATAGTTTCTGTGGGCAAAGCCGCTTCGGGAAATCATCTGTCTCTCTCTTCTTTTAAACTGGCTTTTTCTCGTAATGACATTCTTTCTCTCGCTCCAATTTGTGGGAGAGGCGAATCCACCTGAGTCGGGGGGACACAGGTGCTCAAAGTTGAAGGAGGCAGATTCATTCATCCCCCTCCAAAAGGCTTGGGGGGTGCAGCTCCGCACGAGGCCACCCCACAGATGGGATGGACAGAGCAGCAGGGAGAGCGGCCGGGGCTGCAGCTGGCCTGGGGCTCTCAGGGCCTCCCTGTCTTGTGTGCCACCATACACCTGGCTCCCTTAGTGCCTTTCAGCCATTAATGTGGCTGGTGAGACCCGAAGAGCAGATGTGACTCACCTTGGCCCTCCGAGTGGCTCTGTGCAAGGTGCGATGGAACAAGGAGGCTCCCAATATGCTTTTCATGAGCAGCGGTTACTGATGCTAGTTCACCCCCTTTTCCGGGCACAATCAAGAAATGGCAGCTGGGTGGCACACAGGAACACTGCCAGCAGAGATCCTTTCAGGAGAGGTGGTTTCGTTCCCAGTTTTGCTGTGTCTGTCTGTCTCTGAGAGCAGGACACCCTCCTCTCCCGCACCCTGTTCCGTACCCGGGAGCATTCGGCAGGAAGAAGTGGGCTGAATTTCCATGAACACATGGAAGGAGAAAAGGGTCAAGGAGAAAAGGATCAGGAATTACATATTTTAACGGCTTTGACTTTACACACAGGACATTGAGATGAGAGTTTTGGGGTGGTGAGGAAGAAGCTGTTTCTTTCCAGTAAAAGTGAACCCGGCCGTATTTAAAACTAGGTCGGCCCAGACGCCGCCACTAGGATCTTCACACCCAGATTCCTCCGTAGGCAGTCCTGTGTGACTATTTGAAAAATAATCACGTGTTTTAAGTCTTGTGTGTTTGTTTTAAACCTCTAACTTATTTTGCTCCATTTCTGTGTTCTCAATTTTTAATTTGTTAATCATTATTATTATTACTATTCTGTTTTGTTTTCTGATGCCATCCCCTTAAAAGTCGATTTATGTACCACACGCCTTGGCATTCAGGAGATCATATGCATCAAAGGTAGTGTCTCGTTGCCGTCAGCTGGTCACTGTTGCATGCTTGTCTGTGATTAACCGCCCAGCGCCAGCCCCGGCCCTCCAGCCACACCCTCACTAACGGTGTTTGTACGCGCATGGGCTGTGGCACACTGGCAGCAGCACTTCCGTTAGGCGCCTCATGACGGAAAGGAGGATGAGACGCGTGCCTCTCGCCGGCTGGAGTGCATGTGGTCATTTTGCTCCAGGTTCCCCGGGTCACGGCAGAGCTGCCCCGGTGCAGCCCTCAGCTCTGATCAGCAAGGTGCAGTGCTGAAACACCACTGATGACCCTTAGGGACTGCCTGTTCAGGGACCCTCTGTCATTTGAGCTTTTTGAGTGAAGATTATGAGCCCAAGTCACTTTTGTCTTCTTTGAAGTCTATAAAAGTTTTCTGGCTGGCCGGGTGTGGTGGCTCACACCTATAATGCCAGCATTTGCGGAAGCTGATGTGGGAGGATCACTTAAGCCCAGGAGTTTAAGACCAGCTTGGACAATATAACGAGATCCTGTCTTTACAAAAAACATTGTAAAATGATCCAGGCGAGGTGGCACGCCTGCAGCACTGACTGCATGGGAGCCTGAGGCAGGAGGATCACTTGAGTCTAAGAGTTTGAAGCTGCCGTGAGCTGTGATCGCACCACTGCACTGCAGCCTGGGTGACAGTGAGACCCTCTCTCCAAAACTTCTTTATAGTCTCCTTGTTTCATTTTCTTAGAGGCAATTAAGAAGGCCTTAGGAATAAAGGCAAATTCCCTAACCTTTGCCCCTCTGGTTGCCCAGGGTTTTTTCAAAGCCTCTGATGCTCCCTTGAACCCTTGGCACCTATGTGGGCAGTGGCTGTGGCCATCCAGTCTGTGGACTTGCACTGGATTGGGCCGTTGCCTCCTCCGTTCTTGATGGCACTGGGCGTAACTGCCCCAGCCAGGCCACTACCTCTCTTCCCAGTGGCCCACGGCCGCCTCTGCAACCCCAGAGTCTGTCCAGGTTCACCTCCACAATTCCTTCTTCAGGCTGTACTTGACTTAGAGAAGCATTCCTGTCCCCTCTACTTGGCTGTCATTTCTTTGAAGACTCTCATGGATACTGCTCTTCTGAAGAAAGTGGCATTTGATACCAAACAGGAAAATAAAAATATGCTAATTTCTCTTTCCTTCCCCTGTAAGCCTCCTAGAAGCAGGAAGCTTGGTGAAACAGCCTGCCAATGTTTTTAATCCCACAAAGTCTTAAAAAGACCAGACGTCCTTATTCAGGAAGTAGGTGATCTCAGTGATAAGGGAGTGTGTGTCCCTTTATTGTTTTAACTGCCTAGTAGTCGGTCCCCACTCAGCCTCCTGTTCCCGTGCAGAGATGGGGAGATGTCTCACCCTGTGGGTCGTAGGTGTGCCCATGGCACTGAGGGCTGCTGCAGGCTGGGGACTCTGCAGACTCGGGCCCTCTGCCTGTCAGCACCCCCCATCCTGCCAGCACTCTCCCTGCAGAGGATGGCTTGTCTTTCTGCCCGGGCACCAGCTCTGACTCTGACATCGGGGACAGCACTCTCCAAGGCCCCTGCTGGCCTGCCACCCACCCCTATCTCAGACCTCCGTGCACCTGACTGAGGAAATCTCTCTTGTTCTCTCCAGCCAAGAACCTACACAGAGGAGGAGCTGAACGCCAAGCTGACCCGGCGTGTGCAGAAGGCAGCTCGGAGACAGGCCAAGCAGGAGGAGCTTAAGCGGCTGCATCGAGCCCAGGTACAACCACGGAGGCTGGGACCAGGGCACATGTGTGGGAGGCTTGGGCAGCACCCTCCTCTCCACCCAGCTGCGCCCTGCCACACTAAGCGCAGTGCAGAGCAGAGGTACACCGGCCCCCTGCCATCCAGGTCACCTTCGGCCCCGCCCTGGTGGAGCTGTCGGTTCAAAGGGAAGAGCAGGCCGAGCTGGTGTCACTAAAGTGCTATAATCCCAACACTTCAGGAGGCTGAGGCAGATGGATCACTTGAGGTCAGGAGTTCGAGACCAGCCTGGCCAACAAGGCAAAACCCATCTCTACTAAAAAAAAAAAAAAACAATTAGCTGGGCGTGGTGGCAGGTGCCTGTAGTCCCAGCTACTCAGGAGGCTGAGGCATGAGAATCGCTTGAACCCGGGAGGCAGAGGTTGCAGTGAGCTGAGATCGCACCACTGCACTCCAGCCTGGGTGACAGAGCAAGACTCTGTCTCCCCCTGGGGGCAGGGGAAAGAGCCCTGCTTTGAGTTTCCCGAATTCCTTCTTGTAGAATGATCATGAGTCGCCTCGTTCAATTGTGAGGACTGTCGTCAGGAGTCCACTCGTGGCTCCTCAGCCTCTGATAGGCCTGGGATTTTTGTGGGAAGATGTCAGATCTCTCCTCACATCCTCAGCTTGTCTTCAGGCTGCACAGACCCTGAATTCTAGACTGTTGTAGAGCTGTTGTTTTTTGTTTTTTTTAAAGACGGAGTCTTGCTCTGTCTCCCAGTCTGGAGTGCAGTAGAGTGATCTCGGCTCACCGCAACCTCCGCCTCCTGGGTTCAAGCAATTCTCCTGTCTCGGCCTCCCGAGTAGCTGGAATTACAGGTGCCCACCACCACACCTGGCTAACTTTTATATTTTGAGTAGAAATGGGGTTTCACCATGTTGGTCAGGCTGGTCTCAGAACTCCCGACCTCAGGCGATCCAACCACCTCGGCCTCCCAAAGTGCTGGGATTATAGGCGTGAGCCACCATGCCCAGCCTCTCTTAATTTTTTACCATAAAGATGGGATTTCCACTGTGCTCTTGAGGAACCCCATCCATCAGGCTAGCAGTCTTGGCGTGAGAACAGTCTGAGGTTCTGGGACTCGGGCCCCTCTTGCAGCAGTTTACATCCACTTCCTGTCCTTGCACCACTCCTGGGAGGGTGGTCACTACCTGAGCCGTGTCCGCACTCTTGGGTGCCAACTAGCAAGGCCCAGAGCCTAGTGTCTACACAGGCTCGGGGGTTCTGGTGCAGGTGGTCTCCACACCACACCCTGAGCGCGCTGCCCACGGACTGGAGCAGTTTCCAGAGCGGCCACTCCTTTGTTTCCACTCCTGTGGGTGTGCAGTCGTGTGTCCTCCTGAAGCTGGGCCAGAGGGCCGGGTGCTCAGGCTGTGCTGTCTGTCACAGATCATCCAGCGGCAGCTGCAGCAGGTGGAGGAGAGGCAACGGCGGCTGGAGGAAAGGGGCGTGGCCGTGGAGAAGGCGCTGCGGGGCGAAGCAGGTACTGCTGGGCTCCTTCCTAAGCTCTGCTCCTGGAGGAAGCCCTCCCTCCCTCCCTCCTACCGTGGTAGGCTAGTTTTGCTTCACCTCACCTGGAATTCAGCTCCTTTTCCAGCAGGATTTTCTGGGGCCCTTCATCACTGAGATTTGGGGCTTCCTGTTAAGCAAAAGAAAATACTTGTCTGAGACAGCCCCAGGCCCATCCTGCTCCACGGCCCCTGTGGGCTGATGTTTTCCCATAGAGTGAAACTCAGTCCCTGGCATGTTGATGGCGAGCGCTGGCTCCCCCCTTCCTTCCTGCCCCACATTTACTCTAGAAGGGAGTAACTGGGAGTGAGGGAGATTGAACTGCAAGGAACCATCACAGAACTGCACTGGGCAGGTCCCCAGCCTGCACCCCTCCGGACCCCCTCCTGCCGTTAGTTCCCTGGGCCCCTCCTGCCCACAGAGCCCTCACCACCGCCGGTGGGAGAGCATGTGGCTGCCCTCGGCACGCACAGATTTCCAGAGGGCACCTAGGCTCTGTGTCCACTGAAGGCTGGTCACTCAGGGCAGGGCTGGGGAGGCTCAGGGCATGTGGCTATCCAATGTGGAGCAGACCCCAGGGCGTGGCTGGCAGGGCCCTGTGCTTGTGACTGCTGCTCCTGGCAGGGAAGCACCGGAGGGTGTGGTGCGCTCACATCTGCCGTTCCACCCAGGGAACCTACGGGGCTGCACCCAGCACAGTTGGGCTCGGAGAATGCAAGGGAGTTCCTGAGGCGTCTCTCGCCCCACGGCCCAGGAAGCCCTGTTGATTCAGGACCTTGAAGCCACAGGGCCAGCCCAGGGGTTCAGTGACCATTCTGCCTTCTCAAGCATCCACAAGTCTTCGTCTAGTCTCTGGATGGGGAAACTTCCATCTCTTTATAGCCTGCAGGTCCACCTTCAAATTGTGCACTGGGATGAAGAAGAGCAGTGTCCTCTTACTTCCTCACTCTAGTGTGGCAGAGGGGAGCAGGGTGCCTCTGCTGACAGGCAGGCGCTCTGTGAGACAGAAGAACTGGGAGGAGGCGGCCAGTAGCAGGGCCAGCTGCTGCCATCTGATCCTGCTCAAAGACCCCTGGGCTCACAGGAAGTGCCTGGTGTCAAGATGCGTTCCTGTGGCCTGTAGGACTGAAGCTGGCGCGGTGGGGAGTGAGGGAGCTGGGCGTGGAAGTAGGTCTCCTGTCCCAGGCCCTTGAAGGCCTGGAAGTGGCAGCTTATCGGTCTATTCAGCGAGGACCTTCAGACAGATAGATGGGTTGGGAAGAAAGGGGAGGCTGTGGATGCTCTTGGTTTGGGATCACCTGATGCTGGACTTAATGCTAAAGCCCAGGCTGCCGAAGGAAATGCAAAACTAAGCACTTAGCGTCCAGTGGGCCGAGAAGACTGGGATGAGTTGCTGTGAGACAAGCACAGCAAGGAGATTCGGGCTCGCCTGAGAGGGTGCGCGGCTCCCTACCCCGCTCCGCGCAGTCGGATCCGGCCTCCTCAGTCAAGCCTGAGCTCAGATGGCGTTGGCCCCAGCCCCCCGTGCGCATCTGCATCCAGGCCCGCAGGGCCCTGCCCTGTGCTTTTCCTCTTCTGGCGGAAGATATCAGGAGAGAGCCTAGGCCCGTCTTCATTTCTCCTCTCTCTTCTCCACAAATCACTTCTGCCGAGATGGAAAGCAGTGGATAGATCTCAACACACAGGCAGAATCACTCTTGGTTGGTGCTTTAAGCTCTCCGGGAAGAAGACCACGCCCTGTCCTCCTCACTCACAGGGTTGAGGTGATGGTGCCATCCAGGTTGGTGGTTCCCGTAAGCACGTCAGCGCCCGTGGCCTCCTCGACGTCTGAGTGTAAAACAACACTTCGCTGCCTCTGTGACAGGCCCTGTTATTCAAGCTGCCAAAGGGCCAGAAAATAATATACCATTGAAGACTGGCGTGCGGGTCTGCCAAAATTCCTTCTTCTAGGCGTTAGGTAATCCCATTTCCTTAAACATAGACAACTCAAATGCCATCGAAGTCAGTGGTTTTTAAACTTCTTTTTCAGGAGAAAACCCTTTTTACAAGATTGTAAGTTCAGGTTTAAATAATTGAACACCTCACTTGGAAATATCAGAATTATCTGCAGTATAAATGATGCAGATACTAGAAGTTTAAAATGAGGCAAGAGCTTTTTCCCAGTTGAATCATAGCCAATATAACAGCAGTTCCTATTCCTCACAAAAGACAAGTCTCAAACAAGAGGCTCCCAGAGTAAACGAAACCCCACCTTCGCTGTAAGACTGCAGCAAATCGTGTTACCCTGACAAAAGGGTGTCGCCGACAGGCACACGTGCTGTCCCTGAGCTGCACCTCGCCCAGATGGACCCGAACAGTGGCGTGTGAGCACTGTGGCTGCAGGCCGGAATTTAAATACGCAAATAAATCAAATGTCCTCTTCACTAACATTACAGGGAGTTCAGCCACTTACACAAAGAAAGGCAGAAACTTGATCCTGAGGGCCCCACAAAATCACGCTCACCCAGCAGCACAAATTATTGGGTTGATGTGTTCCAGTGGTTGAAAAGTTGACATATGAAACATTTGAAAGTGGTGTGTCTTATTTTAATAAGGTCTCTTAAAACAGCTACAAGTGGCCATGCACAGTGCTTCACGCCTATAATCCCAACACTTTGGGAGGCTGAGCTAGGCAGATCACCTAAGGTCGGGAGTTTGAGACCAGCCTGACCAACATGGAGAGACCCCAGGTCTACTAAAAATACAGAAAAATTAGCCAGGCGTGGTGGTGCATGCCTGTAGTCCCAGCTACTCAGGAGGCTGAGGCAGGAGAATTGCTTGAACCTGGGAGGTGGAGGTTGCGGTGAGCCGAGATTGTGACACTGCCCTACAGCCTGGGTGACAAGAATGAAATTCCGTCTCAAAGAAAAAAAAAAGCTACAATTATTTGTATATCAGGAATTTGGGAGACCCCTTGGAATGCCTTTTGGAGAAACTTAGGGTGCCACAGAAGCTTGAAAACCGCTGTCCTAGTCCAAACTCCGTCCTTTAGATGAGTCTTCACCAAAATATCTCTATACAAAAATGTTTCTGTTCTGTTGTTCAAGACGGGCCTTCGTAGCTCTGTTGGGATATTTCCTTGTGATACATTTGAGAAATTCTCAGGAATTTTCAGGAATTGTTGTTCCTACCCTAAGAATATAAGAATTTCCAACTATATTGTTTTCCTTCTCTTACGTGAACACATCCCTCCCAAGGCTGGTCTCACGTCAGTTCCCTGTGGCCCTGCTCCTCCTTGGCCGATGCCATCTGTGAAGCCCAAGTGTGGTGCTGCCACTGCCTTGTCTCCTGCTTCTGCATCCCGTCCCTCCCCTTAGCCTTGTGGTGCCTGGCTGAGCCCTGCAGAAGGCAGTGACAGCAAAGCGTGGTAATCATGCGGGGTCTTCGCACCATGGCAGTCCGCCCTTCCCTGGGGACTGTAGTAAACTGGCTGGGACCTGCCACCCTTGGTCTCAAGCTCCCATCGCTGTCTGAGGGCATCAGACTTTATATGCCAAGCTGCCTTCCAGAGAAGGTATCTGGCATGGACCTGTCATCCTGTTCTCCATTTGGCTAAGGTGTGACAACGTATGGCCAGGCCACAAGCTTCAGCCCTTTGATCCTAGGGCCAGGCCACGACAGATGATTTCCAGTCCTGGGCACCTGGGAAGCCTTTTTGTTACAAACCGCTGGCTCAGCCTTGAGCATGCATTGAAAAGCTGGGGCAGGACTGCATTCTACTGTCTGGGGTGTCATTCTTAAGGGGAGGCTGTCAGGTGGGACCGGAGGCCCTGCAGATCTGCATTCAGAATACGGGGCTTGGAGAAAGGGCAACACCTTGATGGCTGACTGCTGCGCTCCATGTGTCTCTGTGATTCTGGGGAGAGGACCCCCGCTCAAGCCCGGCCTCTCTG